GAAAGATGATGCTGTTGATTATGAGCCTGACATTGAGTGTGTGAGAGAGTGCGAGAGCGTTGATGATTGTATCGCCGCCCTGGCTGCGGCTGCCGGTAATGGTGGTGGGGGAAATTATGATGACAGCAATTATCCTTTTGTAAAAAGGGCAACAACAAAAAAGAAACCATAAACAAATGTTAACATTCGAACATGATTTAAGGGACTTGCCTGTCACATAATTGATGGCTTTGCTTGATGATGGTGAAATCAAAACTGGCACCAAGGAAAGAGGGGGAACTTTAAATACATTTTTACAAATGTTTTAAAGCTTCTCATGCCCCCGACAAACTCAAGGATGAAAAACTTTTTTTGGTTGAATTTAATTTTTTTTTTTTTTTTTTTTTTTTTTGAAAGGGATACTAGAAATTTTAGAGAAATAGTAAATAAATCGGAATGAATATAAGTCTCAGTTTAGGGATTGATATAATTTTTTTTTTGTATTTTTTTCTTATTTTCTTAAATTTTTTAAAAATTTATGATTTTCCTCTTTTCGCCAATTATCGAAAATTTATGGTGATTTTATTGTTTAATCCGCAAATAAATTTGTTTAATTACTTCAATCATTGGCCTTAATTTTTTTCCGTATAAGTTTTCAATTTTTCAATTTATTTTTTTATTTCTTAATTTTATTAATTTATTATTTTTTTTTTTGATAATTTTCAATAATTACTACAGCAAAGTCCATATTCAATATTTAAAAAATAAATTTTCAGCCTCAAAGTAGGCATTGATTTTAATATTTTACTATCAAGTTAATGTTATTTTTTTACTTTTTCTAATTTCGAATTTTATCATTTCTCTTTTGACTGCTGATTAATCTCCAACTCTCAATAATTACCTCAATTAATTTTTCTCTGACAAAAATAGAAACAAAAAACATTTCAAAGAAAACTCATAACCGCATTAGTACGAACCATTTAAGAGATGGCAGTGATTTCACTTAAACTTGAAAGCAATTTAGAGGAGCTTTTTGAACAACCACCCCCTATAGCCCCTCTATATCACATACCTTGATTCAATCATCATCATAGATTGCTCTCTTATGAGTCATGGTAAACTTAATAAACTTCAAATCAATCTGTATTTATTTGAACATTTTTCCGAAGCAAGAAAGCAAGCAAAAAACAGAGCAAATACAATCTTCCAACCAACACACACATGCACACACACACACACGTACTTTGGATATTAAAACCAAGCATCAGTCATCTCATGGACATAAACAATCATTCACAGGATTCTAAAGAAACAAAAACTGGCAAACTAGGGGGAGAGAGTCATGAAAAGAGAAGGGGACAAGGGGGGAGAGAACACATAAAAAACCGGAAACTAAATCATGCAATGCATTGATGGCTTTGAGAGAAAAAAACATCACTCACTTAGTTACACACACACGCAAGATTTCACATACACACACAAAACGTAAAGGACCTCGACCAATCATTAATCATATAAGCTCATATATGTGTATAAAGGTAAGGAAGATGGAGGGGGCAAAACATACCCAGAATTCCATGAAGCCTGAAGGCTCACACACACACATACAAGGGTATTCAGTCATGGTCATTGCTTGCAGTCAAACTAATACTAATACAACGACAACAACAACATTTCAAGTAAATCTGATTTAAAACAAAAGTTTAAAAATCACAGTGATTACGAAAATCTCCCAATAGAGGTCTCCAACAATTTTCTATAGACAATTGTAAGAGACCAATAGAGGTCTCCAACAATTTTCTATAGACAATTGTAAGAGACCAATAGAGGTCTCCAACAATTTTCTATAGAAAATTGTAAGAGACCAATAGAGGTCTCCAACAATTTTCTATAGAAAATTGTAAGAGACCAATAAAGGTCTCCAGCAATTTTCTATAGAAAATTGTAAGAGACCAATACAGGTCTCCAACAATTTTCTATAGAAAATTGTAAGAGACCAATACGGGTCTCCAAAAATTTTCTGTAGAAAATCATGGGAGTCCCAACGGGGTCTCCAAAAATTTTCTATAGAAAATCATGGGAGTCCCAACGGGGTCTCCAAAAATTTTCTATAGAAAATCATGGGAGACCAATACTGGTCTCCAAAAATTTTCTATAGAAAATCATGGGAGACCAATACTGGTCTCCAAAAATTTTCTATAGAAAATCATGGGAGACCAATACTGGTCTCCAAAAATTTTCTATAGAAAATCATGGGAGACCAATACTGGTCTCCAAAAATTTTCTATAGAAAATCATGGGAGACCAATACTGGTCTCCAAAAATTTTCTATAGAAAATCATGGGAGACCAATACTGGTCTCCAAAAATTTTCTATAGAAAATCATGGGAGACCAATACTGGTCTCCAAAAATTTTCTATAGAAAATCATGGGAGACCAATACTGGCCTCCAAAAATTTTCTATAGAAAATCATGGGAGACCAATACTGGTCTCCAAAAATTTTCTATAGAAAATCATGGGAGACCAATACTGGTCTCCAAAAATTTTCTATAGAAAATTGTGTGGAGACCAATACGGGGGGTCTCCAAAAATTTTCTATAGAAAATTGTGTGGAGACCAATACGGGGGGTCTCCAAAAATTTTCTATAGAAAATTGTGTGGAGACCAATACGGGGGGTCTCCAAAAATTTTCTATAGAAAATTGTGTGGAGACCAATACGGGGGGTCTCCAAAAATTTTCTATAGAAAATTGTGTGGAGACCAATACGGGGGGTCTCCAAAAATTTTCTATAGAAAATTGTGTGGAGACCAATACGGGGGGTCTCCAAATATTTTCTATAGAAAATTGTGTGGAGACCAATACGGGGGGTCTCCAAAAATTTTCTATAGAAAATTGTGTGGAGACCAATACGGGGGGTCTCCAAAAATTTTCTATAGAAAATTGTGTGGAGACCAATACGGGGGTCTCCAAAAATTGTCTATAGAAAATTGTGTGGAGACCAATACGGGGGGGTCTCCAAAAATTTTCTATGGAAAATTGTGTGGAGACCAATACGGGGGGTCTCCAAAAATTTTCTATGGAAAATTGTGTGGAGACCAATACGGGGGTCTCCAAAAATTTTCTATAGAAAATTGTGTGGAGACCAATACGGGGGGTCTCCAAAAAATGTCTATAGAAAATTGTGTGGAGACCAATACGGGGGGTCTCCAAAAAATGTCTATAGAAAATTGTGTGGAGACCAATACGGGGGGTCTCCAAAAATTTTCTATAGAAAATTGTGTGGAGACCAATACGGGGGGTCTCCAAAAATTTTCTATAGAAAATTGTGTGGAGACCAATACGGGGATCTCCAAAAATTTTCTATAGAAAATTGTGTGGAGACCAATACGGGGGTCTCCAAAAATTTTCTATAGAAAATTGTGTGGAGACCAATACGGGGGGTCTCCAAAAATTTTCTATAGAAAATTGTGTGGAGACCAATACAGGGGGTCTCCAAAAATTTTCTATAGAAAATTGTGTGGAGACCAATACGGGGGGTCTCCAAAAATTTTCTATAGAAAATTGTGTGGAGACCAATACGGGGGGTCTCCAAAAATTTTCTATAGAAAATTGTGTGGAGACCAATACGGGGGGTCTCCAAAAATTTTCTATAGAAAATTGTGTGGAGACCAATACGGGGGGTCTCCAAAAATTTTCTATAGAAAATTGTGTGGGGTCTCCAAAAATTTTCTATAGAAAATTGTGTGGGGTCTCCAAAAATTTTCTATAGAAAATTGTGGGAGACCAAAACTGGTCGCCAAAAATGTTCTATAGAAAATTGTGTTTAGAAGTATTTTGGTCTCCACAAATTTTTTATAGAAAATTTTGGAACAAAGGTTCTCTTTAACCACAGTTTTATTTTTCTGTTTCAGAAAAAGTTAATTTTTTGTTTTTGTTGTTGTTGCCTGTTATGAATTAAAAACATGAATACTCTGAGAGAGAGGACAACAACTCAGAAAAAGGTCACCTATGAATAGCCAATGATGAGAATGACAACGATGTTGATGATGTCGATGTTGATGATACTGATGTCAGTTATATACTCTCCACTACACCATCATCACAACCACCACCAACTACAACAACAACATCAATAACTGAGACTTCAATATGTCGACACTTCACTTTCATAATACGCAATGCCAATGCCATTTTGAAAAAAGGGGGAAGAAAAATCTGAAAAAAATCATGATGGTGGCTCATAAATCCTTTAAAGGACATATTTATCCTGGTCGGCCAGATGGTGGTCACGAAAGAACAACTTTTGAGTTTCAATCAACAATTTGTGTTTGGTTTGTTAACTTTTAAATGAAATTCAATTGATAATCGAAAAAAAAAAACCGAATCCTGGTTTGGCAATACAATTTTCTTTCTTTAACATTCATAAAACTTTGTTTCCAGCGCCAACGGAAAATGGAGGAAATTTCCCAATGCTTTGTATTGAGAAATACACAAAATAAATAAACATTTTCTTTCAATTCCGCACAGACGACGTCTGCCAATGTTTGTTTCCTTCTTTTTTTCAAAGGCCTTAAGTGTTTTCCTTTTTTTTTGGTCATCAAAACTGAACACTTTCCTTGCTTTTTGTAATATTTTCCGTATTATTTAAACCAAGCCACCCCTTCCCCCTCGCGAGAACTTTTTCAGGACCTAAGCAATGACATTTGATCTTAAAAAGCATCAACAAACTTTCCATTTCGTTGGCTCCCTGGAGTATTAAAAAGGTTAGGCGGACTCCCTTAAGTAGGCAACATTTTTTCTCTCCAATTTTCAATTTAAATAATGGCCTACAGGATAATATTGGAAGTCCCACTTTATTTTTATCATCATTCAATTCAATGGAAAAATATAAATACATTTTTTATTTGCTTTGGTTTGTCTCCAGGCAATAATAAAAAAAATATATTTTTTAAGTCAGCCATAAAGTATGCTTTAAAAATTTAATTTTATATTAAATTTGAAATTTTTTCTTTTTTTCAGATGATTCTGTGGATGTCACCTCGGAACCAGACGACCAAGATATTTCAGTGGCTGCCGCATCACACAATCCCAACAAGGGCCAACTGGAGGTGCAATTGGGTGGCTCAGTTACCCTGCAGTGTCCACAAGGTAAGAAATTTTTAAGACCCCTTGAATATTTTTTATAGAAAAATTTTTGAGACCCGGTTTGGTCTCCACCCAATTTTCTATAGAAAATTTTTCGAGACCCCGATTTGGTCTCCACAATTTTCTATAGAAAATTTTTTGAGACCCCGATTTGGTCTCCACAATTTTCTATAGAAAATTTTTCGAGACCCCGATTTGGTCTCCACAATTTTCTATAGAAAATTTTTCGATACCCCAATTTGGGCTCTCCACACAATTTTCTATAGAAAATTTTTCGAAACCCGGTATTGGTCTCCACAAGATTTTCTATAGAAAACTTTTCGAGACCCGGTATTGGTCTCCACAAGATTTTCTATAGAAAACTTTTCGAGACCCGGTATTGGTCTCCACAAGATTTTCCATAGAAAATTTTTCGAGACCCGACTTGGTCTCCACAAGATTTTCTATAGAAAACTTTCGAGACCCGACTTGGTCTCCACAAGATTTTCTATAGAAAACTTTCGAGACCCGACTTGGTCTCCACAAGATTTTCTATAGAAAACTTTCGAGACCCGACTTGGTCTCCACAAGATTTTCTATAGAAAATTTTTCGAGACCCGGTATTGGTCTCCCACACAATTTTCTATAGAAAATTTTTGGAGACCAGTTTTGGTCTCCCACAATTTTCTATAGAAAATTTTTGGAGACCAGTTTTGGTCTCCCACAATTTTCTATAGAAAATTTTTGGAGACCAGTTTTGGTCTCCCACAATTTTCTATAGAAAATTTTTGGAGACCAGTTTTGGTCTCCCACAATTTTCTATAGAAAATTTTTGGAGACCAGTTTTGGTCTCCCACAATTTTCTATAGAAAATTTTTGGAGACCAGTTTTGGTCTCCCACAATTTTCTATAGAAAATTTTTGGAGACCAGTTTTGGTCTCCCACAATTTTCTATAGAAAATTTTGGAGACCAGTTTTGGTCTCCCACAATTTTCTATAGAAAATTTTTAGAGACTAGTTTTGGTCTCCCACAATTTTCTATAGAAAATTTTTGGAGACCAGTTTTGATCGAGACCCGGTATTGCTCTCCCACACAATTTTCTATAGAAAATTTTACGAGACCCGGTATTGGTCTCCACAAGATTTTCTATAGAAAATTTTTCGAGACCCGGTATTGGTCTCCACAAGATTTTCTATAGAAAATTTTCGACGAGACCCCGGTTTTGGGGTCTCCACACAATTTTCTACAGAAAATTTTCGACGAGACCCCGGTTTTGGGGTCTCCATACAATTTTCTATAGAAAATTTTGCGAGACCCCGGTATTGGTCTCCACAAGATTTTCTATAGAAAATTTTTCGAGACCCGGTATTGGTCTTTACAAGATTTTCTATAGAAAATTTTGCGAGACCCGGTATTGGTCTCCACATAATTTTCTATAGAAAATTTTCGACGAGACCCGCTTTGGGGTCTCCCCAAGATTTTCTATAGAAAATATTCGACGAGACCCGCTTTGGGGTCTCCCCAAGATTTTCTATAGAAAATTTTCGACGAGACCCGCTTTGGGGTCTCCCCAAGATTTTCTATAGAAAATTTTCGACGAGACCCGCTTTGGGGTCTCCCCAAGATTTTCTATAGAAAATTTTCGACGAGACCCGCTTTGGGGTCTCCCCAAGATTTTCTATAGAAAATTTTCGACGAGACCCGCTTTGGGGTCTCCCCAAGATTTTCTATAGAAAATTTTCGACGAGACCCGCCTTGGGGTCTCTCCAAGATTTTCTATAGAAAATTTTTCGAGACTCGCTTTTGGGTCTCCCCAAGATTTTCTATAGAAAATTTTTCGAGACTCGCTTTGGGGTCTCCCCAAGATTTTCTACAAAAAATTTTTCGAGACTCGCTTTGGGGTCTCCCCAAGATTTTCTACAGAAAATTTTCCGAGACCCGGTATTGGTCTCCACACATTTTCTATAGCAAATTTCATGGAGACCTGTAGAAGGAGACCAGCCTTGGTCTCCGTAGTCTCTATTGAAAAAGTCTCATCTAGATCTGCTTTCGGGGTCTTCAAATTTTCCATGGAGTTTTTTTTTTTGGGATGTTATATCTTATTAGTAATTACAAATTATTGCCTACTTTTAGGCTGAATTTTAAATTTTCTTCAAAACCATTTAAAATTCTTAACTATAAAAAACTTTGCCTACTTTTAGGCTGCCACTAATAGATATTACTCTTCTAATTATGTCCAGACCCACCCCCATCGCCACCACCTCTGCCGCCACACAAATCACTCTAATTAAAAGCTTTATCTAATTACCAACAATTGTAAATTGATTGCCTGGCCCGGCCCGAACAAGAACGAGCATGCAATTAATAACATCGACAAAATTTGTGTATTTCAGTTGGCGCATAACAAAATTAACATTCGCCGATAACTAATGATGGGACAGCATGGCATTAATAACTACCCAACCAACAACAAGGTGTCGTTTTGCTATCTAGCATCAGTCGACATTTTTTTGGCGGAATGATAGAAACTTATGATTTATAGATGTTGTTTTTTCCGTGGGGCGCCACAATAATGAGGCCATTGGCACGGGGAAGTGTTTAATGGCAATCGAAAAGAGAAGAAAAAAAAATCGAAAATTGTTCAAAAGAAACGTGGCTGGTGGCTGACGGTGGGGATGGCGATGCCATCGTCCATACTCTCAAATCAATTATAGGAATTAAAATTTGCCTTTCAGTTTTCGTGTAACAACAATTAATGAAATTATTCCGACAACAACAGAAAGCCAGGCCATTTCCCATTCATCACCGACATCATTATCTTTATTGTTGTTGCTGTTCTCATACCTTCTTGTAAAGGCATTTCTTTTCTTGTTCTTGTTGTTAGTGAATAATTTATGAATTGAATGTCCTTTTAATTTCATCATTCCAAGCAACAACGCCGTCGTCGTCTCTTTTTTTCTCAAAACGAATCTTGAATTCCAATTTGTCTCACTTCTAAATTGCTTTGATACTCATTTCGTCCTCTTCTTTCTCTTTCTCTCCATTCCACAGGTTCATTGGGCTGCTGGTCACACTTGGATCCAGTGACGGCACGTTTACGAGGTTTAGGTCACGGTCTGTCCTCACCCACTGGGCAAGTTTCGCTCAAAGATGTTGTCTATCAGGATGCCGGCACTTACAAATGTATTGGCCAATCGCCACAGAATAAAAAGAAATTGGAAGTCCTACAAACTGTGGGTGTTACAGTGAAAGGTAAGTTCCTTTTTCTTCAAGAGGAGATTTTAGCCACAAAGTAAAATCATTGGAAAAAAATCGAAAACAAAAAAAAATGCTTTTAAGATAATTAAAGGAGAATTTGTTGAAATATAATGAGCAACGATAAAGAGGGGGGGAATTTAACTATGCCATGTCACAGCTTTAGGACTTAGGCAATGACTTCAGGGCAGCTATATAAAGCGCATTTAGCAAATCATAAAATAAAAATCACATATAAAAGTGGATTTTCTAAAAACATTTTTTAAGGTCTTCAAATAAACGTGGATTTTATTTTTTCAAGGACCAAAGAAAAACATGGATTTTTTAAAAATATTTTTTAAAAAAATTCAAGGCCTCCAAATAAACGTGGATTTAAAAAAAATTTCTAGGCCTACAAATAAACGTGGATTTTTTAAAAATATTTTTCAAGGTCTAAAAATAAACGTGGATTTTTTAAAAATATTTTTTCAAGGTCTACAAATAAAAGTGGATTTTTTAAAAATATTGTTTTAAGGTCTTCAAATAAACGTGGATTTTTTAAAAATATTTTTTAAGGTCTACAATTAAATGTGGATTTTTTAAAAATATTTTTTCAAGGCCTACAAATAAACGTGGATTTTTAAAAAATATTTTTCAAGGTCTAAAAATAAACGTGGATTTTTTAAAAATATTTTTTCAAGGTCTACAAATAAAAGTGGATTTTTTAAAAATATTTTTTTTAAGGTCTACAAATAAACGTGGAATTTTTAAAAATATTTTTTCAAGGTCTGCAAATAAAAGTGGATTTTTTAAAAATATTTTTCAAGGTCTAAAAATAAACGTGGATTTTTTAAAAATATTTTTTCAAGGTCTACAAATAAAAGTGGATTTTTTAAAAATATTTTTCAAGGTCTAAAAATAAACGTGGATTTTTTAAAAATATTTTTTTTAAGGTCTTCAAATAAACGTGAATTTTTAAAAAATATTTTTTCAAGGTCTTCAAATAAAAGTGGATTTTTTAAAAATATTTTTTTAAGGTCTAAAAAACAACGTGGATTTTTTACAAATATTTTTTTAAATATTTTAAAATCATCGCATATAGGTGACGCCTTAAAAAATATTCTAAAACAAAATTGCATCTCAAAAAAAAAATTAAAACCAAAAAATATATACATAACTGACTCTAAAATTTTTTTAAAAGAACCTCGTAGACAGTACAAATGGCGACTTAAAACTTTTTCAAAAAATAGGTTGCGCTGGACATTTTTTTGTTTGATAACTGCACATGCGGTACGATATTTAAAACAAAAAATAAATTCCCGACGTTCAAAAAAATATATATATATTTTTAAAATCGGCTCTTCAAAAATAAATTTCCGCATACAGATGGCGTCTTAAAATATTAAAAAAAAAATATTAAAAAATCTCCATATAAACATTCCACTGTAACAATTATTTTTAAAAATTCTACATGCTAGAAGATATTTTTAAAATATTTTCTTAATTTTATATACATGACGTTTAAAAAATATTTTTAAAAATCCACTTTAATATCTCTTTTATTTTTTGTAGGAATGCATTGAAAAATTCTCGCATCTTAAAATATTTTCAAAGATCCTCATATATAGCTTCCGCCGACAAAACTTTTTTTTAATCTTTACATGCGGTATGATATTTTACAGATACCCTTTTTTGAATCCTATTATATATGTGCCGATTAAAAAAATTTATTTAAAAAACCACATTAGTGCACCAAGGGAGCAGTTAAGGCTCCTGACGTAACTCTAATATAAATATTAGGATATTTCGGGTTTAAGCTGCCTCAACCTCAGAAATGAACAGTATGCAAGTCTACGTTGTCGTATAGACCCTAATATAACGGCTGCATTCGGTATTTTAAGATTTTAACAGAATTTTATATGGATTTTATTTTTTAATTTTATTTTTTATTTTATTTATTTATTTATTTATTTATTTTTTTTTTTTTTTTGAAAATTGCCAAAATCGTTTCAAATGGTGGAGGGCATTCAAAGATCGACCCGGCCGAATTTACAGCTTTTTTTTTTTTGTTTTTTTTTTTTTTAATTAATTTATTATAAAATATATGCCATATAATTCCTTAAATATAATCTTCTTATATTGGCTTTTTGAGTCATTATTTCTTTAAAATCATTAAATATTGTTTACACACAACTTCAACAACGAAACCATTGAGGAGGAAACATATTTTATGGCACTTCAAAATTTTCGAAAATCTTACTAAATCAAAATGACTTTAGCCAGAGCAAATACATAAATTCTCTACTCCCACCACCATTGACGGTAAATAGCCTTTGGGCCATATGGGATTTCCTTGGCAGTGGCCACAAAACTAACAAAAACGACCGAACGACAGACAGACAGACAGACCGAAAGACGACAATAAGGAAATTTATTGTTTTATTTTAAACAAATATAGATATTTTCAAACAGAAGACTTAAATAAATTTTACCAGGGAATACATGTGCATCTCTCTCTGTGTGTCTAAGTGTGTGTGAGTGTGTTTGTGTGTATGTGTATGGAGCAATTGTACAATAATTTTCAAAATAAAATTTATGTCTTTTGTATTACAAGGAGCCACTCTCACTCTCTCTCTCTTGCCTGTCGCTTGCTGTTGAAATCTACAGAAATGTCTTTGACAGCCATGGTCCATCATCATCATCAGCAGCATAAGACAGACGACACCTTAAGCGTCTCCTCCGCCACCATCACCACCACCACTAACAATCACATAAGTAATGTGTGTGTGATGTGTAAAAATGCACCCTTGAGGGCAATATAAACAAAATGCCATCATGTAGGGGCTATAGAGAGAGATAGAGAGAGGGAGGAGAAATCTCCTCCATATTACATATTACATTTTGCCAACATGTGACACAACCAAAAAGCCCTACGAAAAGACAACAAAAAAACCTTGAATGATGAAAAACATAATCATCACGGAACTTAACAAATGTCTTCATCAGCCTTCTTAGGACCAGAATTGAGTCTCTGTTTTCTTTACAATTTTTTTCTGCTGCTGAGTAGGGGTGGGAAAGACTTTCTTAAGAACAAAGAATGACAAACACAACCACTTAAAGGACTTTTCTTAAACAGAACTTCCATGCCAAAAGGGGAAGCAGAAGCAGAAGAAGAGGCTTGTTTGCCGTTCTAAGGACATAAGTGACACAGAGGAAAAGGATTTTCTTGTTGACGTCAAGGAAAAAGTAATCAAATTGAAAAGAAAAACAAAAGATTTCTTGAAATGCACACACACACACACCCCAAAGAGGAGAGCGACAACTTTCTGTGACAGGACATCATCAGTGCAGCAATTTACTCGGCTAACGAAGAAATTTGCTTTAAAACAAAAAAACAACAACAACAACAAAGTGTGAGAGACATGATTTTCAAGGTAATCTTCAAAAGCATTTGTCAACACACTGAAGAAGAAGCAGAAAATCTTGTCTTCTTTTAGTCAGTTTTTAAAAGAAAGCAAAGCAAACTAAACTTTCATTTTCCCAACTCTCCCAACCACTCTCCCCTACTTCTTTGCTCTCAGCCCCAGGGAGAGAGCGGAGAGCACAATCATTTCATATTGTCTGTGTGGTGCATGGGTCTATTACAAAGTAAGCTGTCTGTATGTGTATTTGTGTGTGTGTGTGTTAAAATGTCATTACAGCACATTTGAAGAGCTCGATAAACAACAACAGAATCATCAGCAGCAGCAGCACCAGCAGGAAATTGCAACAAAGTACTTGTAAATACCTAGAAGCAGGTGTAAGGACAACAAAACAACAAAAACGTAACATTTATGCATAGACATGACTGACGATGTGTAAATATGTTACAATGAATGTGTGGGTGTGTGTGCGAATGAGTGTGAGCTCTGTATTAGTTTCTTTTGTCACGGTTTCGGGATTAGCAAAATGAACTTTTTAGCAAATTGCTAAGCATTGAAGATGATGGTTGTGCAGCAGAAGAATAATTAGGGAGGTAACAGGATGTGTAATTACGATAATTAAAAACACCATTTGGGTCTCTCAAAAAAAAAAAAAAAAAAAAAAAAAAAAAAAAAAAAAAAAAAACAGGGTGAGATAAAAACAAGTAAGCAAAGGCTACAGTCGAGCGGGGCCGACCGTTGAATACCCTACAACACTATAATAAACGATACAGTTTATATAGGCGAGATACTCGAAAGAATTCCACAAGATATTGTGACAAATAATAAAAGAAAACCATCAGGTTTCGTTCTCTAATTTTCGAATAATAGCAACTTAAACTAATTTGCTCATTTCCAATTTATTGGTAGATGTGCACTTAAATGGTCTTCCTAGATCTGGAACCAAGAATAACATTTATTATTGGTTTTTGACTGAAACGCATCTATATGAGATACAGACATTTTACTATATTCTTCAACGAAATCAGCCTTAACGAAATAGTCAGAAGTGCCTCTTTCCTGTATTTGTGAATTCTCCAAAAAGTCACTGGAATGGACATTTTCGTATTTTGTCTATAAAAGTTAGAAAACTCCTTCACACATTGAATATTTTTGGATAGCCATCCAAAACTGCTTGGCTTTTGCAATGTCCGGTAACCCCCATAATTACGACCTGCTGACAATTTTGCAGTTTTTTGGTCCATTTCAACCCCTAAATATATGGCGATCATCTCCAAAAAGAATAGGCTTTTATTCTGACCCTCATCTTATCTCCATGCAAAATTTCGTAAGAATCGGGCCATAAATGCGATCTGTATATGATATCCTGATATCCTAACTACTTAGTTTTGTTAGCTGTGGAAATATTACCAAATGTTTAATTCAAAATGAAAATATGCCAAAAATATGACAAAATTGAAAAAATATGAGAAAATTTTGCAAAATCAATATTTTCATCTTCAGAGAGATATTTTTATGCGATTTTTTTAGACGTTTTTTCTTTTCTGCCAAGAGGTCATTCTGAATTAATGAGAACTGTCGAAATCAGTTCAGCCG